AAAAAAAAGAAAAGAAAAAAAGCAGTACAAAATTACTTAAAATTTGATTTGTTGCAAAATGAGTACAGGTGCTAGAAAAGGAGCCTTTTCATGAGACTATTTAATGGAATATGTCTCCTTGAGGACTCATCACAATCTGCACGTGTTTGTGTACCTACATCAGTATGAAAACTTTTGCTTATAGCAAGAAATCTTATATATTCAGCCTTCATCCAATTGCATGTAACCACAGGCTCATTCTTATTATACAGATGCAAGATGGTTGAGTATGTGTGATTCTAGGTTATAATTATATAACCTAGGTGTTTACATGTTTTTGGTAAATATTTTACATGTTGTGGGCTATGTTGAGTATGTTTCACAGCTGGTCCACTCCACCATTGTAGCCCCAAAGTAGCCATAGACAATACTTACACAAATGAGCGTGGCTTATTTTATTGATTTTATTGCTGTATGGTAAGTTGCCACAAACTTAGGGGCTTAAAACAACATCCATTTATCTCACAGTTTCCATGGCCAGGAGTCAGCTAAGCTGAGTCCTGTGCTCAGGGCCTCTCAAGGCTGCCGTCAAGGTGTCAATAAGGGTTGCGGTCTCATCCGATGTTTGTGATGCTCTTCCAAGCCCCAGGATTTATTGCAGAATTTATTTCCTTGCAGCTGGATAACTTGTGATAGCTTGCTTCTTTAAAACCAGCAGGAGAGCACATCTCAGTAGAAGGCTCAGATAGGGCCCAGCCCATCTTTTACCAGCTCACCTGATTAGATCAGGCCCACTCAGAATCATCTTTCTTTGGTTACTCAAAGTCAACTGATTACGAACTTTAATTCCATCTGCAAAATCTCATCAGATTTGCTATACAAAGTAACATAATCAGGGGAGCAACACCCTGTCATATTCTCCGTCCCATCCGCACTTGAGGGGAGGAAAGATTATACAGAGTGTCTATACCAGGGCATGGGAATATTGGGACTACCTTAGAATTCTGTCTGCCACATCGGTGTTCAAATAAAACAACAAATGGATGCTGAAACTAAAATAGCAGATAATTTTTCACCTGTCACAAAACTGCTTTCTTGTTTTGATTATTTTTCAATTATTTAAAAATGTTATAACCATTTTTAATTTGTGGGCTTAGAGGAAAAACAAACAAACCATACACTGGACTGTATTTTGCTTGTGGGCTGTAGTTTGCCATTCCCTGATATAACCTGAAAAATGGAAGGAGATAGCCCAGATCGCCTGGTCAGAAGTAGTTCCCATAACTAGACGTTAGATCCAGATGACATGGCTTTGCAATATGTGGGAGCAATGCTGAAGTTTAAGGGTGGCTTCTCTTGCAAGTTGCTTCCTGTGACCTGGCAGGATCTAACCTTAAACAGACAAGAGACCAAAGTCACTGACCTAAAGGCATCTCCTGTATGAGGACATGGGGACATCTAGGAAGCTGTGCTCACCAAACACACCCCAGCTGGGAAGGCCCTAGATGCTTTCCGAAGTTGCCATCTTTGTGCTTATTGATGTAAGCTATAGCTTCTTTGCATGTATCTGTTCCAGTGCTTATTTTCTTCAAGCCTACAAACGAATCCTCTATAGGGCTACTGCAACTTCAGATAGTCAATCAAAGATCAGAGTGTTCTTTAGTTTTACTGGAAATGTAATTCTGCAGAAATGGAATTTGGGAATAACCATTAAGAACAACCATTACTTTTCATATCACAAGGTAAATCATAACTTCAGATATTTGGATTATATATCCAGGTAATATTCATATTATTTAAATCCAGATTTTCATCAGCACAAGTATAAAGAGTAACAACAGTGAAAAACATCCTTCTTCTAGGAGCACAACAATACCATAGTAGTATTGTGTATAACATTAGATCTTAGAATCATAATATATTTGTCTAGTCACAAATGTATTTGAACAATGTTTAAATGATGCTTGCGGCATGTATTTCTTCCTAAGGTTTCTGTTTTAGAAAGTCTGGGCCAGGAGCAGTGGCTCACACCTGTAATCCCAGCACTTTGGGAGGCCGAGGTGGGTGAATCACCTGAGGCTAGGAGTTTGAGACCAGCCTGGCCAACATGGCGAAACCCCATCTCTACTAAAAATACGAAAATTAGCCGGGTGTAGTGGTGGGTGCCTGTAATCCCAGCTACTCGGGAGGCTGAGGCAAGAGAATCACTTGAACCCAGAAGGCGGAGGCTGCAATGAACCGAGATCGCACCATTGCACTCCAGCCTGGACAACAAGAGCGAATCTCCGTTTCAAAAAAAAAAATTGGTGCTTGCCTATCTGTCAGGCACTATACAACTATTAATTTGTTCAAACCTCATAGTAGCCTTTTAAAGACAATATTAATATATATCATCCTTGATAAGAAAACTGAGACACTGAAAACAGTTATGTAACTTGGCAAGGATTTCCTGACTAGTAACTGGCTAAACTCAGATTTGAACCCCACCAACTTCATTCCAGATTCTGTGTTCTCACCCATTATCTTCTGCTACCTCTTTAGTATATAATACTAGTAAAAAAATCTTTTCTGACTATGCTGACATAGCTTATGATGTACAAATAATAAGATATCTTAATGAAAACACGGAAATTAAAAATTCTTGAAGGTGACATCCCTCCAGGTGACTAACGTGCCCAATTAAATGACCATCTTTCCTGTGGTCTAAGCCTCAGCAGGCTTGTTGATTATCTTGTCAGGGTGTCATCCAATGTTTCTTTTTTTTATTTCCATCCAGTATTTCTAATGCTAGCTTTGAGATTCTTTTCTAATAATGGCAATATCAGAATCTTGGTAGGGATCAGTTGCATGGTACAGATTTACAACAATTGTATTAATAATTCATCAGATTTTTTCAATTGATGTAGAAGTTGTTATTGTAAAATTATTCAAAATTTGTTACATTTTTATAATATGAGTGAAGGCACTGAAATAACCGTGCAATTTTATCAAAGACAAATTTGGTCCTATTCAAACATAAGATTTCTGATACAGATGCCTGTTCTCAGAAGAATACTAATAATGTTTCAACCATCACATGCTTAGTTTTTATCAGTTGAAAAAGTTCCATTGTCAAGACATTTTCCAATGACATTAAATCAAAACAATGTCATTGCAATTTTCCATGACACTTTTTCCAAAATGGAGGGACAGAATATTTCTCCATGTGAATCTTTGCATTTTAATCAGAATTAAGGAGAAAGATAAAAATGTGAATGGTTTCGCTCTAAAAATAAAAAAAATTTAGAATACAATTGCTAATAATGTTAAATATTCATTGTGATATAGATTTAGTGAAACTGATTAAAGGGAATGGGAATTGAATTACCTACTTGCAGAGGCATATATTGGAAAGCCTTTAACAGTTTTGCTTTATTTGAAACAAACAAGCCAACAAATAAAAATTTGTTAAAAGGCTGTGAAAAGGATGCTCTGAAAAACGCATGGAATAATTTCTAGGATATTTTATTTTCTGTTGTTATGGAGACTTTTAAAAACAAAATTCTTATCTTATTACTTAAATATATGCTTACCAAATCGAAGCAGAAGAAAACAAAATCCTCTATAAAGATTTTCATGAAACAATATATTACTATCCAAATATTTCATACCACCTGATATGACTGATTTATCAGATCATTTTTACTAACAACTTTTGGGGATTACTAAAGAAATTGATACAAAATCTTCACTCAATTCAAATGAGCTACTCAAACTTTCCAAGACATGTTTGGAAACAACAAAGAACAACTTCTCACTTTATAAATTGAATTCTACAAATGAGCACAAAAGTGGAACATTCTGCCATCCACTTCAGCAGGAATTATGAAAATGACAAGACAAAAATTGCATCAACCCCTCTGTAATTTTTGGCAGAATTTTGTACTTATTCTCGTGTACCTATATTCTTCTCCATAATAGGTGGTGGTCAAATGTATAACTCATAAAATTTGATTTTCTAATTTTTGAAGCTTTCTAAAAATCAATTCACAAATTAAAACTATAATTTGTCAGAACATGAAGTCAAATTTGGGCTCTGGAAATATAGTCACCATGTGAGTGTTCTGGATCAGAAAGAGCACTCTGAGTCAGAAAGAGTGAAGCAAAGAAAGTCACAGTGGATGTAAATGAAAGAAATATAAGGTATGGGTAATTTGAGGATTTTGGGGGGCTTTTTCTGTCCAGAAGAAATGCATTGCAGACAAGATGATTCTTGATAAGGTAATAATCGCTTACTATAGTCAAACTCTAAGTACTTCAGCCAGAAACTACTGAGCACAGGGAGAGAGCTATTAGGCATTGTTAAAGCAATTGATCGCTTCCATCATTATTTGTGTGGCTGGAATTTCACAATCAGAACTTATCATGTTGCATTATGAGGCTTGCTGAAATTCACAGATTTGTAGGGACAAATTGGCTGGATGTTTACAAAACTGTAAGGCTATCATTTGCGAATTGAACATCGACAGAGAGTAAAAAAACATCATAATGCACATACATTATCTAGGCACCCTGTGTTGGGATAATGCTTGTAAAGCTGACATTAGGCATGAAGAAAAGAAATAAATAGTCTAACAGATCTGGTAGTTAGTGTTTTGGAACAACCAAAGGTTTCTGGCTGGGAGGATGGAAAACACTCTTATTTCCTGAATAGGAAGTTATGAAATGGTTCATTCATTCATCCACCAAATATTTATTGAGTGTATGCTATGTGCCAGGCACTGTCAAGGTGTGAAGAATATACTAGCAAACAAGACAAATTGCAGAGCTGAGGTATAGCAAAGGCACAGAGAGAGAGAAAAAATACTATTTTGTGACAGTTGGATTGACTATATGTAAAAAATACCCGTAAATTTTATGAAGAAGAGATGTCTAATAATATTGCTACTAGTAAATACCATCATTAACTATATGTAAAAAATACCCTTAAATTTTATAAAGCAGAGATGTCCAATAATATTGCCACTATTAAATACCATCATGTGTCATGTAAATATACAGTCAAACTTTAAATTTCTTTTGCATGAAAGTGATATCTGATTGATTGAGTGTGCTTCTTTTTTTTTTTTTTTTTAGATGGAGTCTCCCTCTTTCACCAGGTTTTTTTTTTTTGGTGTGATCTCAGCTCACTGTAGCCTCCGCCTCCCGGGTTCAAGCGATTCTCCTCCCTCAGCCTCCTGAGTAGCTGAAACTACAGGTGCCTGCCACCATGCCCAGCTAATTTTTGTATTTTCAGTAGAGACGAGGTTTTACCATGTTGGCCAGGATGGTCTCAAACTCCTGACTTCAAGTGATCTGCCTGCCTCAGTCTCCCAAAGTGCTGGGATTACAGGCATGAGCCACCACACCCTGCTGAGTATGCTTCTTTATAAAAATGTAATATTTAATCTTTGCGCACTCCCAGAAGTTTGTTCGCCTAGTTTTTCAAGAAAATTTATGTCCATATACATGATCAACCAAATTAAAACTGATTTGCAAAAAGGTGGATTTAACATATACAACCTAGAGAAATTCCAGCTTTGAGGAAAACACGAGGAAACTCTATAGGTCCACTTTATACCTTCTTATAGTTAAAAGCATTTCCAAGGAATCCTCCACAATTTCAAAAAATATATTTCTGTTTTTGTTTGTTTATAGTTTTTTTGTTTTGTTTTGTTGTGAGACAGGGTCTCACTTTGTCACCCAGATTGGAGTGCAGTGGCATAAACATGGCTCACTACAGCCTTGACCTTCCAGGCTCAGGCAGTCCTCCCACCTCAGCCTCCCAAGTAGCTGGACTTCAGGCACACACCACCACACTCAGTTTTTTTTTTTTTTTTTTTTTTTCAGAGATGGGGTTTCGCCATGTTGACCAGGCTGGTCTTGAACTTCTGAGCTCAAGTGATGCGCACACTTCAGCCTCCCAAAGAGTTGGAATTATAGGCATGATCCACCATGCCCAGCCTATATTTCTAATGTACTGAACTCTAGATGTTGGCATTATTTGTCAGAGGCACCCAGAAAATGTTCTGATAGTCTAAAAAGAACTAACCCTGAAAAGCAAATAAAAATTTCTAAGCACTTCACACAGTGCTTGGTACTTAAGTATTTGTACACATGAGCAAGGAAATTGGATATGACAAATTAGCATCACAATAACTAGGTAGTAGGGGCAGATCCAGTTTTGTGGAACCTGAAGCTTATAAAATTTGGAAGCCCCCTTTGAAAAAGAAATACAAAATCATCCACATAAAATTAGGCATAAGGCCAGGCACAATGGCTCATACCTCTAATCTAGCACTTTGGGAGTCTGAGGTAGGATTGCTTGAGTCCAGTTTGTGGCCAGCCTGAGCAACATAGCAAGAACCTGTTCTCTAAAAAATAAAAAATAAAAAAAATTAGCCAGGCATGGTGGCACGTGCCTCTAGTCCGACCTACTCAAGAGGCTGAGATGGGAGGATTGCCTGAGCCCAAAAGTTCGAGGCTACAGTGAGCTAGGATTGTGCCACTGCACTCCAGCCTGGGTGACACAGGGATACCCTGTCCCTACAAAAATTAATAAAATAAGTAAAATAAAATAGAATTGGACATGAAAGTATTTATTTAGAATGAGAAAATAAATCACTATAAAATTTTTTCAGCTTTATTTGAAGTATAATTGACAAATAAAAATTGAATGAATACATTTACTGTATATAACATGATGTGTTGATATATGTATGTGCTGTATGTCATTCTCTTCTGCCTAAAGCACGCCTTCTCACCCTCTTCATCTAACCAATCATTCATCTTTCAAAATGCTCCTCATCTATCACCCCTTCAGGGAGACCTTCCCTGACACCCCCAAAGGCTGGGTTAGTTCCCACCATGTGTGCTCCCAAGACATCATCTGTACCATGACACTTACTGCATTGAAACTGGCTGGCTATTCATCATCTGAATTCCCAACAGCTGCAGCATCCAAAAGAGAGGACCAATGTCTTTTATCTTTATATTTCAGTGTTTAGTGCCCAGTAAACATACAATAGCTGTTTGTTGAATGAATAAATGAGATTTATTGACTTTATTTGGCATCAAACAAGTCCAGACCCTACTGATCTCAAATCCGTCATCATATTCTCCACAAACTGATTGAATATCGATCCCCTGCCATTGCTTCAAGTTAAAAAAAAAAAAAAAAAACCTTTTGAAAATATGATGTGCAGGGCCGGGCACGGTGGCTCACGCCTGTAATCCCAGCACTTTGGGAAGCCAAGGCAGGCCAGTTGCCTGAACTCAGAAATTTGAGACCAGCATGGGCAACACAGTGAAACTCCGTCTCTACTAAAATACAAAAAATTAGCAGGGTGTGGCAGCACTCACCTGTAGTCCCAGCTACTTGGGAGACTGAGGCAGGAGAATTGCTTGAACCCAGGAGGCTGAGGTTGCAATGAGTGGAGATCATGTCACTGCACTCCAGCCTGGGAGACAGAGCAAGATTCCATCTCAAAAAAAACAAAAAAGAAAATATTGTGTGCAGCTATAAAACAACAAAACTGGTTCTATAAGACATACATAAATATCAGACTCATTATTTTATAATCATCCTTTACAAATGAAAATTTGAAATGACTGAGCTGCAGTCAGACTTGAGCACAAGCTTCAAAAATTATAACTTCATTTCCTACTGTAAAACAAATTGTTTCCATTGAAAACGTTGGAAAGAAACAGGCTGGTCTAGAGAAGACTTGAAAAAAATATTTGATTTCATTTCTGTCAAAACTTCACTGGGTTTGTCCCTATGTCTTAATCTCCAAGTTCTGTTTTCAGTGGAATCCATATCTGTGTCATCCGAGACTTACTGTTGACATCAACCTGCTGCATACATCAGACTCTACTCAGTTTATTTAATTCCACAAAAGTTTACTGAATATTTTCTATTCTAATTGTGCCAGCATTATGATCAGGTCACAGGAGTCAAGGTTTTGTATGCAATATTTTGTTTTCTAGTCATTCATTTCTTTTTCTTTTTTTTTCTTTTTTTTTTTTGAGATGGAGTTTTGCTCTTGTTGCCCAGGCTGGAGTGCAGTGTTGCAATCTCAGCTCATTGCAACCTCCACCTCCCAGGTTCAAGCAATTCTCCTGCCTCAGCCTTCCAAGTAGCGGGGGATACAGGCTCCCGACACCATGCCCTGGTAGTTTTTGTATTTTTAATAGAAACAGGTTTCACCATGTTGGCCAGACTGGCCTCAAACTCCTGACCTCAGGTGATTCCGCCCACCTCAGCCTCCCAAATTGCTGAGATTACAGGCATGAGCCACCGAGCCTGACCCATTTCTTTATTCAACAAATAATGTGAAGCTTTCACTGTAAGTTCATAAGACATTGCTCTAACTGCCACTGAAGGAAAAAGGGATCAATAGATTTCTGATTTTATAGGAATTATAATTTAATTAGGGAGATAAGATATGCAGACATAACGTTTACCATCAACACTGAAGTTTAATAGCAACGTGAGCCAATTATATAGGAACTCTCCTATGATCACATCACCCTGGGCTCTACCGGGCTCTCCCTGGGTTGGTGGTTTCACCCTCACAGGAAGCCAGGTTGTGCTAGAAAGAAAGTTTCAGAAACAGGCTAGTGTTTGAAAATGGGCCAAGTTCCTAGCCTCAGTTGCTTCATTTTATGTACTCATAGAATTATGGGGAAATGTATGTCTCCCTCTTCAACTCTCCCTTCTGCATAGAAAATGCCCTCAGTGGGCTCAGTGGGTAAGAGTGCCACAGGCGAGCATAGTAACCCTGACAGTCCCTTACAAGGTTGGCAGAGAGACACAGCTACCATCACTGCTGTGCTCTCAGAGTCTGTTTGTTTGTTTGACATCTGCAACAGATATTTTATTTGTTTTGAGATGGAGTCTCGCTCTGTTGCCTAGGCTGGAGTGCAGTAACGAGATCTCGGCTCACTGCAACCTCTGCCTCCCAGATTCAAGCAATTCTCCTGCCTCAGCCTCCTAAGTAGCTGGGCTTACAGGCACCCACCACAACAGCTGACTAATTTTTGTACTTTTAGTAGAAACAGGGTTTCACCATGTTGGCCAGGCTGGTCTCGAACTCCTGACCTCAAGTGATCCACCTGCCTAGGCCTCCCAAAGTGCTGGGATTAAAAGCATGAGCCACCACGCCCGGCCCAGATTAATTTTTTTAAACGGATGGATTTTGAGAGGAAACAATATGGGGCAGAAGTATGGAATAGAAAATAAATACAAATGTAAGCTCTTTGCTAGCTGTTTTATAACCACAACAAACTAGTTCAGAGAGTGCCCTGTACAAAACACAATAAAGTTTCAAAGATGAAGGTGTTCCCTTAGCAAGGCTGCAAATGTCCATCTCTGGTATTTGGAACTGAGGCTGCAGTCCTTGTTTCTGGATGGATCACTGGGTGTGTGAAACAGTCCATGCTTTGGGGAGTTGAGAGAAGGAGTTGCCAGATTTCTCAATCTGGAGAGGACAGTGTTGGTGATGACAAGATTTCCACTCTTCTCTGTGGGATCAGGAAGGGAGTGTATTCTCCACCCACCACCAAGCTTAATTGTGGGGAAGATTTCAAGAAGTTTTGCAGCTTGGGGGTGTCTGCAGCAAAAGGAGAATGGCATCTTGCTGCCTGGCTGAGCTGTCCCTGGCCACCCTGGAGCTGCTATTGGAGAAGAATGGGGTGTGTTGAGTGAGTTATTGGGGGAATCTAAGCAGAGGGTGGTACTCAGCCATAAACATTAGTGCCACTTCTGGCTCATGCCTGGAATCCCAGCACTTTGGGAGGCCGAGGCTGGTGGATCACTTGAGGTCAGGAGTTTGAGATCAGCCTGGCCAACGTGCTGAAACCCCATCTGTACTACTGGGCACGGTGCTGTATAATCCCAGCTACTCAGGAGGCTGAAGCAGGAGAATTGCTTGAACCCAGGAGGTGGTGGTTGCAGTGAGCTGAGATGGTGCCACTGGGCAACACAGTGAGACTCCGGATCAAAAAAAAAAAAAATAAAAAATAGAAAAGAAAAGAAATTAGTGCTGCTTCTCTTCAACAGGTGGGGATAGTAGTGCCCAAACCAGCCGAGAGAAAGATGTAGGGAAACACCCACATTCCCAGAGGCTCCTGGAAGAAGTGGAGGAAGTGGAGGAGGACCTCAGTGCTTCCATGCTTACTGGAAAGAGCAGAAAGGGGGAGCCAGGCCAGAGTGGCCCTGGTGAGTCCAGGCAGACAACGCCTTAGAGAAGTGGCTGAAGGCATGGATTCTTGGTGGCGCCCCTTCTAAAGATCAACTTCTAAAGAGTTGATCTTTAGAAGCAGTAGTGCTGGGGTGAAGGTGGGCTTTACCTCAGGAAACCACTTCCATCATCAGCACAAGAAACTACCACGTAAAACCAGACCCAGTCAGAATGAGGCCTGAGAGCTTCCTGCTGTGGTGCCCTCTCCCACCAGAGAAGCCAGCCTTGAGGGTGGGGGCTGGAGATATATCAGAGCAACACCAAGTCTGCACCTTAGTGCCTGTGCTAGGGCAAAGAAAGTCCAAGACATGAGATTTGAAGCACCTTTGAGATAAGCTTGGCTGGAATTTTAATAATCAAAAGTGATTGCAAGTTATAAAGTCTGCCGAAAATGTCACTGAGGAATGAGGAAGGGAATTAACATCACAAAGTTGGAAGTAGTCATAGGAAAATATGAAATGATTCCATATTTATTGCGAGTCCTTAACACACTGCAGGCCCACCTGGGAGACACTCCCAGGAGCAGAGCTGCTCATCTTCAGGGAATGAGTGAATTTGGGTAAGGAGTGCATCAGCAGGGACAGTGCTGGCCAAAGACCAGAGCTGCCTCCCCCACCTCCACTCCATCCCATGGGCTTC